CTGGTTTGAGTCCCGGCTGGGTCAGTTGGTGTTTCTGTGTGGAGTTTGCATGTTCTCCCCGTGTTGGTGTGGGTTTCCTCCGGGTGCTCCGGTTTCCCCCACAGTCCAAACACATGCGCTATAGGGGAACTGATCAACTACACTGACCGTAGTGTATGAGTGTGTGTGTAAATGAGTGTGTGGATGTTTCCCAGAGATGGGTTGCGGCTGGAAAAGCATCCGCCTGCGTAAAAACGTCCTGTTTAAGTTGCTGGACTAAGCCGACAAGAAAATAAATAATATAATATAATATAATATAATATAATATAATATAATATAATATAATATAATATAATATAATATAATATAATATAATATAATATAATATAATATAATATAATATATCATCATCTTAGAGTTATAAGGTTCTATCTGACCTTTGTGTCAAATTGAGTTTGACATATTCTTATTAAATGACAACTTATTTACATTATGTAATTTTTTTATAAGTTGTTTACATTTTGAAACTTTTTATATAAAAACAGATGCTACACACATATTGTTTGCTATATAAAATGCAAAAACTTCAAAGCTCTATATATATTAAAATTATTCAGCAGAACCTTATAATTCCACGGTGATGATATGGTAATATAATATAGCATAATGTATTCATTTTATATGTATATGGCATTATATATTGCTTATGAATAATATAGAAGTTTAGGAATAATATTTCTTTGCATCTCCACGATGCAAAATCCAAAATCACTTTCACAAACACACCAGCATCTCTTCTGTGTGTATATACAGCTGAAGTCAGAATTATTCACTCCTCTTTGAATTGTTTTTCTTTTTTCAATATTTCCCAGATGATGTTGAACAGATTGAAGAAAAGTTTACAGTGTGTCTGATAATATTTGTTCTGCTGGAGAAAGTCTTACTTGTTTTATTTCGGCTAGAATAAAAGCAGTTTTTAATAAAAAAAACATTTTAAGCTTAATATTATTCGCCCCTTTAAGCTTTATATTTTTTAGTCTACAGAACAAACCATCATTATATAATAACTTGCCTAATTATTAGGGCCAGACGGAATCTGCGCACGTTTTTTACTATTTCTGCAGAGAATTTTGGTAAAAATCTGTGGATTTCAGCTGAATTATTTTGGGAGTATCAGAACTAAAACCTTAATATGTGAAATAAAAAATAATATGTTTTTAACTTGTATTTAATGTTTAAAATGCAAATCGGTTAGATTCACTTCATTTGGTAAATAAGTCTTTTATATATTATCTCTACTAAAAGACAGAAAATATTACTGTACAAACAGCAGTGCACATAAATCAGATCAACATTTTCATATTAGTCAATAACATTACTGAAAATATTAAAAAACGGAATAAATATAACTTTACACATTTAATCAAGTAAATAATCAGAATTAATAATGGGCTAAAAATCTGCAGAAAATCTGTGGAATTCTGTGCGGCAGATTGTGTGTGTTATTTACTGTCATCATGACGAAGTGGAAATAAATCAGTGATTAGAGATGAGTTATTAACACTGTTATGATTAGAAATGTGCTGGAGAAATCTGCTCTCTGATAAACAGAAATTGGGGAAAAAAACTAACAGGGGGGTGAATAACTCTGACTTCAACTGTACATGCGTGTGTGTCAGTAACACCAGCGGATGATGAAGAGCAGCGGTATGAGGACGGGGCTCACAATGATTCTCCTGGCGGTGTTTAAAGGAGGTCCAATCTCCAGCGCTGATGCTGGAAAACACAGAAAACACATGAACACACACACACACACAGACTATAGAGAGTGAAGGAAGTGTGTGTGTGTGTGTGTGTGTGTGTGTGTGTGTGTGTGTGTGTGTGTGTGTTTCAGAGGATTACTGTTTTCAGACCTGCAGTCATGGTGTCAGCTGACGACACACACAGATCTGAAACACATCACCAGTATTTATGTTATTAACATATTTAACAGTCATGATGTGATGCAGTATAATATAATCATGGTATGAATATTAATTATGATCATTCATCAGCAACACTTTCAATTAATAATAAGTGACAGTACAGACATTTATCAAGTTACCAAAGTTGTTTGTTTACAGTGTTTACATGTTTGTTGACCTTGTTTACAGCGTTTACAGTGTTGTTTTACTCACCCAAACATAGCAGTATGCGAACTTCCTGAGAGACAGAGGAGACACCAAAGCTCAGGTTAGTGATGATGAAGATGGTGATGAAGATGATGAAGATGTGATTCCTCACCTTAGATTGATCACACTCTATGTGGAAGTCCACAGTCATTCCTCTTCTCAGCAGCACTGTGAGTGTTTCCGGGTCATAATGAAGCACTCGTGTCTCATCTATCTGGCGCCGGTTATCCACCACCGTCACGTTCTGCACATCATATTACAATAGCATCAGCTTACACACAGACATTTCATCTCATAACATCAATATGATCTAATAGTTCATGTTTAATGTGATTTTGAACGTTTATCTTGTAAGTAGGCTATCACATGTTGTATTTAATATTTAATTAATAATTTCAACAGCTCATAAATGATGAACGCTTGATTCAGGTGGAGTTTGTGACTCAGATCGCCCCAGTGGAGAAACACTCAGTCTGTTTATTGTTTAGAAACAATAATGACATGATGAAGCCTCGTTTACTGAAATCATGAGACCATGCATATCCACATCCAGACCAAACATACACACCCATAATATAATATATCAGTATTCGCACAGCACTCAGGTCTCTGGTTTGAGTCTCGGCTGGGTCAGTTGGTGTTTCTGTGTGGAGTTTGCATGTTCTCCCCGTGTTGGCGTGGGTTTCCTCCGGGTGCTCCGGTTTCCCCCACAGTCCAAACACATGCGCTATAGGGGAACTGATCAACTACACTGGCTGTAGTGTATGAGTGTGTGTGTGTGTGTGTGTGTGTGAGAGAGAATCAGTGTGTATGGGTGTTTCCCAGTACTGGGTTGCAGCTGAAAGGGCATCTGCTATGTAAAACATATGCTGGAATAGTTGGCGGTTCATTTCACTGTGGCGACCCCTGATGAGTAAAGGGACTGAGCTGAAGGAAATGAATGGAAAAGTCAAACTTGATGAAGCAGTTCTTGGAAAACATGTTACTAGTACATAAACACACAGGTCTGTGTCTATGTGTCTGTACGTTTGTGTGTGTGTGTGTCT